TTAAGAATTTTTTACAATAACTCAGACTTACTTAAATAAAGAATTCATCCATTATCCAGTATGCAATCTCTGCTTCTGAAAGAGCTGGTTCTGTTAGGGGTCATCAAAGGGTCCAAACCTTCCCCCTTTAGTCAAGCCTTTCTGTCCTGAGTGGGAAGGGTATGAATTTTCCCCTGGCACAGAAGCACAGAGGAACCCAGCTCCTTACAGGAGGTGGAGGGGCAGCAGGTCACAGCTGTGACCACCCTGTCATCAGCCTGGAGACTGTTGGCTCAGCCACCACCTGAACCATAATCTGGCCCTTGTTGCCCTCAATCACATCTGAATATTGCTCATATTCTCAAACTTAATACAAAATAGACCTGAAATATTCTCTCATAAGAATTTGGTTATGATTGAAATGCAGTGAACAAGAGTTAAAATTTTGGTTGCAAAAAATTTAAGTTTAAAACAAAAACTATGTTTTACTCACCTTTTACTACACTGTGTGCCTAGAAAAATGCCTTGTAGGATGATTAGCAAGTGAATTAATGAGAGGTAGCAAAAGAGGAAAGGAAAATTTACAGGATTGTTGTAGATGAAAGGCTGTCTTTTGGAAATTAAAGAGGCAAACTCAATAACTGAATTAACACTCTATGACTCATCTAGCTATTGATCAAAGAGAGAATTTATTAACAGAGCTTTGCAAATACAAACAAAATAGCACTTTTAAATTTTTTACAAAATGAATATTGAAATAAATGTGGCACAGCACAGTACAACAATAGACAAAAGAAAACAAGATCTAATGGCTGGAAAATGTCTCTCATTACTCTCCGATCTTAAACTGAATTCTTTCCTACAGTGGACAGAAAGTTGCCCCTTTACTTTGTAAGAATATCATAGCAGAAGTTACTCAGAGAAATGATGCATATCTTTGAATAACATTGAAATACAAAGGCTTAACTCTAAAGGTCTGCATAAACACTGAAAATATGTTGAGGGTGTAAAGAGTTTATGCAGGATATACAAAATACTGATAGAGTGGTTTATTGGTCCATTTATTAGGTTTAATGTATGCTTTACGAAGTGATAATACTGTATTTTAAATGTATATTAAAAAGAAAACAGAGGAGTAATGCGCTGCTAAACCTCCCGTACAGTCTGTGCGACGATCTACATGTCCGTGCGTGGGCATATGTGTGAATGCATGTGTCTGATGTGCTCGTGTGCTTTCAGGAGTGCCTAATACTGTATTTTAAATGTATATTAAAAAGAAAACAGAGGAGTAATGCGCTGCTAAACCTCCATACAGTCTGTGCGACGATCTACATGTCCGTGCGTGGGCATATGTGTGAATGCATGTGTCTGATGTGCTCGTGTGCTTTCAGGAGTGCCGTGACCTACAGGGAACATCTGCACGGTACCCTGCTTCCCAACATAACACTGTTCCTACTAGCCCTTTTGTTTCTCTGAGTGTTCACCTTTTTTTAAAAAAAGACAAAACAAAACCCTTGTTTGCATATATAGATTTGTTTTGTGTCTGTATGTGATATACATTAACAATATTATGTGGAATAGAAACACCCGATGCCCTGCAATATTTTTAGCCTTTGGTCCTTTTCTCTCCATCATTCTATACTCTCCATGTCTTTCGCAAATTTCCCAGAATGCTTCCTTTCTATATAATGTTCCTGATTCCATCGGGTTTCATTTTGTTAGCACTGTATTGGATCAAAACCACTCTTCCACCTGTTGAAAGTAGCTGTATGCTTCATCTCCTCCAAGCCCCTTTGGCCCATCTTCTCCTCTGCTTTCTCGTAGTGGCTCCATCTCAGTACGGGTAGTGCTTCTGCTTCTTTCCCGAGAAGCAAGCCAGCCAAGTGCACAGCAGCATGGCAGCTGCTGCACCTGCTCCCGTGCAGTAGTAGGCCCAGCCGATTTCACACTTACCTAGGACCAAGGAAGAGGAGAGAAGTCAGACATAGATGAGGATGACTTTGCAGGAGGCTTTGTTATTTCAGTGTACATGTTCTGAAATACCCATTAGGAATATGGTGTCCTCACTCAAATGGAATGATAACACGTGCTGAAAGTTGTCTTGAGGGTGAAGAAAGCAAGAATGGTTGTGTGCATTTCAGAAGGATTTCAAGGTCTATGTCTCATGCTGGCTAAGAGGATAAAAATCTATTCCCCTCCACCAATGTCCACACCCTGGCTCAAGAAAAGGGGGAATGGCCACAAGCAGTATAGGAGAAATGAAGTGGTCAATTCTAGTTTAAATCACCCAAGCTCACGTGCATATTAAGGTACTTCAGGAAAAAAATTCAAAATATAGATACAATCCTTCTGCAGAAAGGCTGCTCTAAGGAGGAGACCCATTTGAAGCATAATGCCAAAGTGAATACTGCTGTTTACATGGAATTGTAGAACGGCTCACATTCTACCAACTGAACTGGAAAACAAAACTTGCCAGATTCTCTTGGGGTCCACACACATCTGCAAATTAAAGTGTCATTTAATAAGAAGATAATGACAAAGGCCCAAATGGGTCCTGATTTCTTGAGTTGGATTAGGATTAATAGTAGTAACACACCCACGTTGCTAAAAGTATAATGAGCAGATTTCTTTTCCATATATTGTCTTTGTCAATTCCTTTAACAACATTGTGAGGTGGACTACCAGCTCAGTGCAGTCAACGAGGAAACTGGAAGTTAGAGAAGTTGGTAATTTACCCAAAATCATATATTTATCATTAGTAATAAACTGGGCC